CGTCCCCCCGAACATAACGCACCCTTAAAATGAATGTATACAAGTCGTATTTCCGGCCAGATACAACCAAAATGAGGGTGCGTTGTGTTCGGGGGAAGACGGTAGTAGCAGGAGTTGGGAGCTTATGCATGCACAGTATGCAGCATGCACAGCTCTTGTCCATGTCATTCATGTTGACGCTTCGTAAAGTAGTATGGTGTTGTTATGTGCCTGTTTGAACTTACATCCACAATGAACACAAAGAATTCACACACTCCCACACATGCATGCAATTGCAAAGTCAACGAATTTCCGAACCCCTGGTATACATCACCTGGAGACTTGGGAGGAGGCAAATCCACACAAGGATGGGGTGGGAGAGGTATGCAACGGAAGCCCAAAATAATATAACAAATATACATGTAAGATTGAATTACGAAGTCCCAATTTTAATTCCACCTTCCTCCTCCAAGCAATCAAGGGGCATGCTTCCGAGAATCTCAACCATGGCTTCAACCTGCACCCCCGTTAAATCCCCCAACAGCAGTCGACGAAGCTCTTAATTCCACCTTCCTCCAACCCCCAAACAGCAACACCACGATGAGTAAAACAGCGCCTAGGGGAGACAATCACCCTGCGCTGCCTTCAGGAGCTGGGCAACCCCAGCGCCTAGTGCTTCTCGTTTCCCTCTTCGTCCCACCAGCCTAAAATGAGACAATCTACACCAGTCAAAATCTACCTGCAGGCATCTAGACTAGAAACTGGCAACAGGGGACCGGTTTCTAGAAGAGCAGAAAAGGACAAAACAGCAAAGGGTGAATGACTTTACTGCTAAATAGAGACAACTTGCAAGAGATCCAAGGGTCAAGCCCCATAGCACTCCGAGCTAGCAAACAACACGCACAAACTACAGGTCACAGGATAAAGTCCTCCAAGGCTCAAAACAAGGAGACAGCAGATAGAGTGAAAAAGGCTTTCAGCCCGTGTATGGGAACCAGATCTAGCTCAGTTGGTCGAACTGTTGAAATACAGACGTGAGTTCCAACTCCACTGAGAGCGGACGAGTAAAATATTACGATTTTGAACCGCATAGGGCCGGTCAGCTCGATTAATATCTCAGAAAAAAAAGAGCCAGATCTAGGGGCTTGCCCCTGGGGGTCAGATAGATATGCTTGCTCTGGTGGTTCCTTCTCTGGTGGGTCTAGTCATGGAGTTGGGTAGTGTGAGGTATATTTGAGAGAAGGATATGTATGCTTGAGCTGGTGGTTCCTACATGGCGCTCAGCGCCCAGACTTCGATTACACAGCTTACTAGCAGCCTATGAATTGACAATGCATCCTGTTGACGTCAGCAGCAGAACCGAAGTACATGAAGATGTCGATCCTTGTAGACCATCGCCTAGACCAGGTACGTGCCCTCACATTATTAACCTCATCTCTCTCTCTCTCTCTCTCTCTCTCTCTCTCTCTCTCTCTCTCTCTCTCTCTCTCTCTCTCTCTCTCTCTCTCTCTCTCTC